GGGAGGCCACAGGTGTTCTTGGATACCCAACTGTTGCAGCCAGGCTGAAAGGCAGGGGAGGGATATTGTGAGGGACAGAAAGGCGAATGGAAAGGTTAATTCTGATCCTCCCAACAGGGATAATTGCCACCCGGGGCTGCCTGTGCTCGTAACCAAGCTGAGCTGGCTGTGTTGGTGGGGATGGGGTTCGCCTTCGCCTCTTTGTCCCCATCCCGCGGGCTCCAAGAGCATCTCTCATCCCTTCAGGATGCCTGGCTGTGGCGGGGGCTGGCACGCTCCCGTCTGCCGCACGCTTTGATTGCTCGAGCTGCGGGTTTGGAGCCTACGTCTCTGCTTTCCTGCACGGCTCCATCTGTTAATGACGAAAAAAGAAAAGGCTGAGAGCTTTTGTCGCGCTCTCTAGCCCCCAGTAGCCTGCCCTACATTATTCAGTAATGACAGAGCGCTTTTTTCTCTCTTCCTTCCTCCTTCTTTTCGCCTCGCTGCTATTTTCTTCCCTCTATAACTTTTCTCCCTATGGCTTTTTTGGTTCTTTGCCCTTGGAGCATCTCCTCCTGATGCTCCCTTCCACATACACAGACACGCTGTCTCTCCCCTTTTGTTCAATTCCTTCCCCCCTTCTGAGTTTTTGCCCCTTCATCCCTCTCTCCAGCTCTTCTTGGTCTCTCCAGCCTGGTAGTTGGGGCACCAACAGCCAGACACAAGTGGTTGGCTGAACCATTGCTGACCCCATGTTCCTCTTGGCAAGGGATGCAGTTGGTACCCTCATCCAGCAGAGCTTGGGAGCCACCCCATGATCCCAACAGATGCTGTCCTCATCCCTCCAGACAGGAGACCAGATCTCCCCATCCCACTCCCCACAGCCAGCATGTGCCGAGTGATTGTCCCTGTGCCGGGCTAGGCTACATCCCCTAACCATCCTCCGCATCTCCGAGCTGCTGCTCGAGCATCCTTCTCCCAAATCAAATCATTTGCAGCATTACTAATGCTAGATGTGCAGCTATTATCTCACAGTGACCTTTGTGGAGGGGAATGGGGGGAAGCGCCTTCTCCCCGGCTGTTCGGCAGGCGCCCGGCTCCCATCTGCCGCGGCGCA